GAATGGGATATTACTTTTAGATATTAAACCAGATAACATTTTAGTGTTTTCCCTTGAAAATAACGAAAATGTTATCGCCAAATTAACTGATTTTGGATCGAGTAGAAACATCAATTTAATGATGACCAATATGACTTTCACAAAGACGATTGGGACACCCGTCTATATGTCACCTGAGGTCTTATCACAAGAAAATTACCAGCAACCCGCAGATATATATTCCTTTGCCATCACAATGTATGAAACAGTGACTTGGGAGAAGTCTTACCCACAAAAGGAATTTCCATTCCCTTGGGTTATTGCTCAATTCGTGACATCAGGAAAAAGACTGCCACATGTAAGTAAAATACCACAAACGTATTTTGAAGTGATACAAATGGGGTGGGAACAAGACAAACACACGAGAATACAAATTGAGAAGTTAGTGAGTCTTATGGAACATTTGTAATGTATTCTTTGTTATATTGTGTTGTTTTTTATAGATCAATATTTATATTTTCAGTTAACACAAGAAGTTAAATAATCAATTAAATGTCGTTGTATTCCGATTTTTTCTTGGTCTTTAAGACTATATTCATCCCAATAACAAGACCAATAACAACTATCAGTAACACACCGGAAACAACACCAAACCCTATGGTAATTTTTTTCCAAATATCATCAACTTCTTCTTCTTTCACGTCGTAAATATGACCTTTCACAAAACTTCCATTAAAGATGTAAAAGTCTCCCGATTCTTTTGATAAGTAAACACCATTAATAGTGCAATTCGTGAATTGAATTATAGTGAATAAAACAACCGAGTGTGTATCATTACAGAATGTCAAACGACAGTTCTCAAAAGAGCTTTGAATAAATTGTAAATCATTATAACCTTTAATTGTTACTTCACTGTTTATAAATCTAATATTCTCAAAAAATGTTTTATCCAATAGGGTGTTTATCATTAAAACGTTCGAAAAGAGTCCATTTTCTATTTCACAATCATAAAGATACGTGTTGTTGAGTATTGTGCTTTCAATATTAAGGACTATGAATTGAGTATATCCGGTATAATGTCTAGATATAACAGAATTGTTTATTGACACCACATTAAAATACGATCTATATTGGGACACCAAATCAAAAGAAGACTCATAAATATTAATCCTTTGAATATTTGTATCTTTTAAGTCTATAGAATACAAAAAAGTGTCATTTAGTGTTATGGTGCCAACACTTGTAAACAAATTTATAGAATTTCTATTCACTGTCGGGTTTATCACATTAAAGTTATTAATGTCAAAATTGGAACATGCTCCTTGACGAAAATTTGAATTGTAAATTTCAAAAAGACCAATTATAGATTTGTAAATTGAGAAGTAACCATCTATAACATCCAAGTATATTAAATTGTCGTAATTTTTAAATTTGATTTCATAATTACAAACATTAGTATTATTACAATTTGAATATTCGTTGTCTTTTAAAGTGACAATAAGTGTTGTGTCATTTGGACAAACATATTCAATGCAATCACTATATCCTTTGATCTTTTCTTGTCGGGAAAAAACTTCTGAAAAAACTTCTGAACGCACTTGAATAATGAAAAATAAATAGCAACACAATAATGTATACATGATATCTCAATCTATTAGTTGTTTTGAAGTATTTTTGATTTAAATACTGAACATTTAAAATTGTTTTGGTTTAGTTATTTACATTGAATTATCATTTTAAGCCAAAATTTATTGGTACTTATTATTCGAATTAATAAACTTTTCTTAAGTACAAATTATTTGAAAAATACTAAACAAGATATTTCCATATATTTTTCAAAAAACTTAAAGCAGTACTTTAAGAGTAATTAATCAATAATTTTTTATTGGTACATTTATGTTTGTTACTAAATCAAAACATTCATATGAAAAATACTGTTAGATTTCAATTTGATGACTTTCTTTCTGTTATTTTTTATGAAATACTGAATGATAAGTAGAAATACTTTATAATTAAAACATTTATTTTATTATCAAATAATCAAGCATGTAAAAAATTTCAAAATATAATTCAACTCTTTTTTAAATAATATTTTTTTCAAATTAAATCATTTGATGTAATGACTACGATTAAATCGTTTTATTTCGAGTTTTGTTAAAAAAACCAAGTTACTTACAGACTGTCATTTTGAATTGTATAAGACGCCTTTTTGTGAATCATATTTTAACGTCAGTATAATACATAAATTTAAAATATCAGCTGAATTTTGTGTATAAAAAGTAATTATATTTTATTATTGAAAGTCATATGAATAAAAAAATAAATTGTTTAATGACATTTCGTTATTCTGCCTCTAAATGTTTTACAAGAGCAAATACCACGCCACCAATAAAACAACAGACAAATTCAAGTATCACACAAATGCAGACCGTTTGGTTACACTCGTGATATTTGATACATAAAGAAATAGAAGGACAGAACAAAGCAAGAACAATTAGAAGTGCGTCAGCCATTACTCGATAATTTTCGTTAATATTAAGTCCTTTATATAACAACTACATATCCTCTGCCAAATTTAAGATATTGTCTTCAAAAACACACAATTTTCAATGATAACTAACAAAAATAACAGTTAAGACACGTTTTTGTTATAAAATATAACAATATATACTATTAATTTTTAGTTAAATTTGTTTCAACATATTTAAAAAAAAACAATTTAAAAACAAAAAACGAAACAGAAGTTAATTCTAAATTTTGAATTTTAAATATTTTGTTAATATGGTTGAATGAAGTAAATTTAACCTCGAACTTACACAATTATAAAGGCAAAACAAAATAATTGGAGTACATTCAAACATGTTAGTAAAGTGTAGACTATTTCAACCATTTTGTATTATCTTATTGTAAAAAAATTACTTTAATAATATCACATATTGTATGTAATTTTATCTCACAAAACAATGAAAATACATTTATATTTCGATAAAAAACAAATAAATACATTTATCATTCGTTTCTCGAGTTGTTTCAAATACTATTTTAGTTAATTATTAAACCAATTAACAACAATAACTTTTTCAATTTATTAATTGTGAATTACAACAAATATCAAAACACGAATACGTGTATATGGAGTTTTCATTTCAAACACTTTGTAAAAAATTATCGTTCAAGTGAATTACTATACTACTCATTTCATTCGATGTTATTGAGTATTTTTTCATTATGATTTTACCCTTCTTCTTAATTTCTTTCTCATTACAAATCAATTTATTTTCGATATAAATTCCTATGATTTTCTCCTCTTTCAAAGTCCCTTTTTTCCCACCAAAGGTTTTCGTCTCGACAAAGTACCCAAGTTCCCTTACAAAATCAATGAGTAGTTGTAACATTTCTACAATCATATTCGCATGTTTTCTACGAAGTGCTGTTTTCTGTGAAACACCTTCCTGTACTTCCTTTTTCATCCTTTTTTCACATCTTTCTTTTACAATATAATTGACATTTAAATACTCTTTTTTATTCCATAAAGTTTCAACAGACAAAAACTGTTGAAAAACAACAGCTTTTTTACTCGGAACATTCAAAGTTATATTAAAAGTTTTGTTCAAGATTGAAAGAAGTATCATTAATTCATATGCTTGAATGTTACGAAGCTCAATAAAACGAGGTGGGTGGTTTGGTGTATGTTTTGACATTAAACACAACCCAATCTCTTGTTTGTTTACATTTTTATTAATTTTTGTATATATGTGTGAGTTTTTAATCGTTGAGAACGATTAATCGCATCTTTACTTATTTCCAATGTTTATTAAATATTTTAAATATATTGTAAACTTTTTATTTCAAATATAAATCTAGAAGATGTTTTTGGGTTTCTTTTTACAAACTTTTTTCTTTTATTTTTAAATTTGTAAATGTGTTTTTCGTTCGATATTTTAAAAACAGTTAGGTTTTTTGTGAATAAGAAATTAAAAAGGATATGATAATAATTTTGTAATGCTATTTATAACGAATAAAAACAACAACATTTCAAGAAATAAAAATAACAACAACTATTATGTTATTTTAAAATGTAATTGATATCACAGTAACAATTCAGAATAACATTTTTAAATGATATTAATATTATTAATATTAATTTGTACTCAATTGTTGTCTTTACTTAAATAATAACATTTTGAAAAATAAAAAACAAATTAAAAAATGTTGTGTTGTTTTTAATATAAATATAAAAAATATGAAATAATTTATGTGTTATTTTATTTTTTGTAATTTCATATTTACTAAGAATTTTTTGTTTGTGAATCCATCTTTATTACATATTTTATTCAAAGAAGTAATCTGAAATCGAAAGTCATTACGAATAGACAATTGGTGCATTCCAAAATTATAAATTTAAACTATAACACTATAAAATAGTATAAAATAATAATTGAAATTAAAGTAATTTGTCTTTATTTAAAGAATTAATAATTGAAAAATTACATTTAAATCAAATTATTGCTTTGAAAATTGATGACAATATTGTTAAAAAATGATTGTTGAATAATTAAAACAATATAAAAGAAATACTTATCAAACTCGTTGTACATTGAAATTACAGTAAAATTTTTGGAATTTGAAAATGAAATAAAAAATAATTATTGTTGTTTAAATATATTTACAAACAAATGTTTGATATTAATGAATTGATTGTTGAATTTTTATATAAATAAATTAAGTGTATATTTTCAAAATACATAAATTAATCAAACATATTTTTATAACAATATATTAATTTAATATTTTATTATTCAATCATAACACATTAAATACAACAACAATGGTTAAGATTTTGTTTGTGTATTAAAACCAACTTTGTAATTTGTACTATATTTTTAATGGTTTGAAAAACATCGCTTGTTGATTATAATTTCACAACAATTTGATAAATATTCTAAATTGAAATATACATTTAAATTATTAAAATTTATCATTGTTAGACTTGCTGTTAAATTATGTAACAATTTTTATTAAAAATGACAAAATAAATTTAAACAAATGAATTACAAAGTTATAACGAAAAACCCTTTACAAAAAACTTTTTGTTTTTTGTTCAGTGAATATGCATTTACTGTGATTTTCAATTTCGAATTTTCTTTTGATGAAAGGGTTGCAATGAAATTCTTTGTTTTGTGAAACCCAAAATGCGGAAAAGCATGAGAGAAAAATGTTGTTGTCTTGAAAAACAGAAAATGAATTTTCTTCTCCCATTTTTCGATTAAAAACAAATGGATTTTCAATATCGGTTGTTTTTGCAAACAAGAACATTTTCTGTGAAGTGCAATTGGTATAGAAATTCTTTTTTACCTCAATTGCATCTTCCTGGTAAAATCCAAAATAAGCCTCATTTGTTTCAAAAACAAAAAGAACTTTATCTTTACACGAAATCGTACTTAAAAAGTCTCTAATTTCAAAATTGAAGTTATTTGTCTGGAAAATCACTTCAGCATTATTGCTCCTTTTGTACTTGTTGATCAGATTTTTCAATGATAATAACTTTGGGTTTAATAAGTTGTAAAATTTGACATCTTCTTCTGATACATGCGTGTCATTTAAAACTACTGTTGAACATTCATATGATTTACTTTCTTGTTTGTTCTTGTGATGTGTTTTAATTGTTCTGAGCTTTGTGATTGAATGAGAAAGTCCCATGTCGTATTTTGTTTTGATTTAATCGTTCCAAACAGCTTTTTATACTCAATATGACACTTACTTTTGTTTCGATACACCCCCTACTAAAAACATCAATACAATACTTAATCCATATTTTAATATTACATTTTAATTATTTTATTCAAACTAACAGAAATTATTTGCAAATTAATATCATTACTTAATAATTTTAATAATATTATGTGTTTTATTCATTATTGATGAAATATTTAATCAACCAATTGACATTAAAAAAAGATTGTGAAATTTATTAAAACAGTTAATTTTAATACTATTGAAACTACTATAACATGGTGAGAGTTTAAACTAAAACATTTAAAATACCTTTTAATGAGTTTTCGAATTTATAACCGTATATTTAACCCTCATTCATTTATAAATGAACAAATAAAAATAAGCATTTTAACCATTAATAAACATGTTTTTAATACATTTTAAATAATTTAAATTGAATTTAATAAAAGTTAACATTGTAATATTATTTGCTTTTTTTTAAATTCATAAACAATAAAAAACTTTTTTCATTTTTGTAAAAAAATATACCAAAATTCATGAAAACCCAATTTTTTATTAAAATTTTGATTGACAAAATTAAAATTGTAAACCAAAATTTATAATAAAATAATTATAAAATATACGTATATTAATTGGTTTTTTAATGTTCAAAATTTAAATAAAGTCACTAAATTATTAAAATGATAATTAAAAAAAGTTTTACATTTATTTTTTTATGAATATTATTAACATGCTTAACACCAATTAACATCAAACTGAAATAAATTACAAGAAAACTCAGTTACAAACAAGCTTTATTTAGTCCTATAAAATTGCTTAAAACTTAATTTGAGGGAATAGTTTTTATGAAAATATAAACTTTTTCTTAACTACAAATTATTTTATTTTTGAATTTTTCTTTTTTTCCATCAAAAAAATGAAAAATTGTATGATTATTATAATAAAAACATATTAATAACTCTAATACATTTTAAAACATTTTAATTATAACTATATAATTTAGAAGTAGAAATATTACACTAAAAAATAGATCTCAAAAGGCTTTGTACTTTACTTTAAATAAAAATTCTCAATTAATTTCTTTTTACACTTCTACAGTCATGCGAAAAAGCTGTCGCGTTTGGAAAAACCTGTCTCGGGTGGTAATGAACTATTCTAGTACTATAAACAAATGATCTGAAATAGAAAATGTTATTTGGAAATGCCGAATATTTTTATTCGATTTTTGTGAAATGACCCTGCAAATAAATCGAATAGAAGCTATACTGTATAGTAAGTAATTATAAATTTACTATAAAATATTTTTTCAAGACATGTTTTTCCAAACCCGACAGCTTTTTGGCATGACTGTAACACAACAAAATAAATGTTATATAAAACTACAAATAAAAATGACAATAATTTTACACTATAATTATTTTTATTATAATTTATAGCTAAAAATTATCATTTGATTAACTTTATATTACACAACAAAAAAAATAAAAATGTTATATTAAAAAACAAAAAGTGATAAAAAAGTTTTTATAATTAAAAATCCATTTGTTATAAAAGTCCACAAAACATTAAAAAGCACAAAAGCCTTTTAAATTATTGAATTTGACCACAATTGAAAATAAAATATAAATAAAAATATAAATATGGAGTTTTACAACAATGAAATTGTTTATTACTTCCCACACCAATAATGATAATTGTTGACCAAACATATCAGAGTGAATAAATCAATTATAATAATTTGGTAGATACTCCTTAAATCTCTCGTAGTAGAACATATATCTCTTTCTGACATCATCTTCATCAAACACGATTCTGTCCTTATCATTCTCCAATCTCCCGTGGTCTCCTTGTGGGTGAATCATTTTCTTGATATTCTCTTCGAACTCCTTTGAGAATTCCATTCCGAAGTGCTCATACATCTTTTTCGTCTCTCCAATGGTCTTTAGTCATTTGACTAAATCCAATGTC